TACTCCTCTCCAGCCTCTCCTACACCAATGTCTATTATGTCTCCTATACGCCTGACATTCCTGAATGTTAGGAGACTGAGCACCCCAGAAAAACGTTCCAGACTTCTAGCCAACCTTAAAGCGGAGTTCCTCTCACCCTGTCAAAAAATAAAAGCAGCTACAAAAACAGTAGCTGCTCGACTTTTAAAAAACAACCACTTACCTGTCCCTCGGTCCCGCGATGTGTCCCCTGCAGCCCGCTTCACCGGCCGTCCTGTGTTTCAGGCGCCCGCATCTTCAGTGTGGGCACCCGGCTGTTACAGCCTGTGGCTTCACAGCTGGGTACCCACTGCACATGTGTGAGTAGTGCTGCGCTTCATGAATGGTCCTGTAGTCTTCGGGGACCTGTCACGTGTCCCAAAAGACTACAGGGAGGGAGGACACCTTCCGCTTCTGGTCGCCTAGGTGATCGGACCAGAAGTGGGAGCGGGTACCTGTCAAATTCGATTGGAGGTGGACAGGCTCTTAGATACTTCGATGAAAATGTGGGTTCTTCTCCCAAGCCCTTGATGATTTGGGAGGCGCACAAATGTGTGGTTCAAGGATTTCCTAATCCGAATTGGCTCGGAGCAAAAAAGGGAGAAATCCAGGCTTGTTGACCATTTGATGGCTCGATTTTGTTCTCTCGAGTCCTTACACAAGGCCCCTTTGGCCACCTCACATCTTGCTGACCTGACTAAGGCTAAGGAACAGTTGAATAACTGACCATATCAGAAAACGATGCATCGACTGGTGTGGGCCAAACGTTTCTTATATGAATATTACAGTAAACCAGGCTCCATGTTAGCTAAAGCCCTGCGGGGTCATGGGAAAGCCACCTTCATCCCTTAGATAGGGACTAAATGGGGTCAAGGTTTCCAAATATGTGGAGATGGCAGCGGAATTTAGGGACTTTTGCCACGATTTGTATAACATGCATCAATCACGTTCGTATTGCTCCTTCGATCTGGTGAAGGCATCCCTTGCATACGTTCAAGCATCAGGTAGGCCTACCCTACCTGATACTACTAGAGGGGACATGGAGACCCCGATAACTGCAGAGGAATTAGGGGCGGCTATAGCTTAGACTAAACCTCGGAAGGCCCCAGGCCCAGATGACTTTTCGCTGTAATATTACCAAACCTTCTTGGCACGACTGACACAGCATTTTCTGAAAGCTTACAATTCCCTGATTAGTGAGGGTTCTATGCCCATCAACTCGCTTCAAGCCTACATTTCACTTATTCCTTAAGAGGGCAAGGATCCTTCCCAGTGTGGGAACTATAGACCAATAGCCCTACTAAACATGGGCCTGAAACTTTTCTCGAAAATTCTAGCAAACTGATTGATTCTGTACACCCCGAATTTGATTGATTTAGACCAAGCTGGCTTCGTACCATCTCATGACACTCCAGATAACACAACCAGGGTTTTAAACCTAATTCATGCAGCACGATCCTCTAAGCGACCCCTTTTATTGCTTTCCACGGACGCAGAGAAGGCATTTGACAGGGTGGCCTGGCATTTTATGAGGGCCACCCTGCAACACATAGGCTTGGGACCCCACCTGTTAGGGTTGATCCTCTCTCTATACTCACTGCCATCGACATCAGTAAGGGTAAATGAGATTAGGTTGGAGTACTTCCAAGATTACGAATGGTACAAGACAGGGCTGTCCTCTATCTCCGATAATTTTTATTCTCACCCTGGAGCCCTTTTCTCTGCTCGGTCAGAAGGAACCTGGATATTGCTGAATACGAAAAACCCTCAGGACATCGCAAACTCGCCGCTTTCGCAGACAACCTGATCTTTTTTTTGTTAGTCGGCCTAATACGACCCTGCCTTTCATTCTGTGGGATCTTCACATTTATGGTGAGTTTTCAAGCTTCAAAATTATCTTGATGAAATCAGCTGCTCTCAATATCACAATTCCGCCCCAGGACCGTGAATCGCTCCGGAAAAACTTCTCGTTTCATTGGGCAGACAGCTCAATTACATAATTAGGTACCAAGATAATCTACAATATGGCAGATATCTACCAGGCTAATTTTATTCCTTTACTTCAAAACATTACTCGAGACCTGAAACGGTGGCATATGCTGACTTTGACATGGTTCGGGCACTGCAACACCTTGAAAATGACGATACTTCCCCGGATTCTCTACTTGTTTCAGGCCTTACCTGTAACCATTCCTATGTCCTTTTTTAAACGCATCCACTCTTTATTCCAGGACTTCCTTTGGACCCACAAGCCGTCACGGATCAAATTCCATCTACTTAATCACCCCAATGTTAGAGGGAGTCTGGACCTCCCAGATATAGCGCGTTATTACCAGGCTGCCCACCTCACAAGGATAGTGGACTGGAAATGTAATGGAGATGTGAAACAGTGGGTGGGCATGGAGAGTGAGTACACTGCCATCCCTCCGCGGGGCTTGCCATGGTCGACTTCTCGGATCCCAGTAGAGATCCAGTCCCACCCAACAGGAAATCCTGATTTCTCCCCAGGCTTTACCAATAGAAATCTCAGAAACCTACATCAAACGAGAAAATTTGAAAAGGAAGCACCATCTAGACATACACTTTCACACCTGTACAGCCTCCTGACCGAGTCTTCTGACGAAGCCCCACCAGCATTTGTCCCCCATTGGGAAACAGACCACGGAATTACCTTTACACCTGATCATGTAAACAAAATCCTGCTGCTGCCAAGTAAATAATTTATAGCGAACAAATACCAGGAAACAGGATATAAGCTACTTGCCAGATGGTACCGTGTACCATATATGCTCCACAAAATTGACCGTAATGTACCAGACACATGCTGGCATTGTGCCCAAGACATCACTACTTTAGCTCACATCTTCTGGTTTTGCCCTGGGATATGTCCCTTTTGGGAGGATGTGGCGGCCACAGTTATGCAGTTGACATACGTACAGTCAGGTCCATAAATATTGGGACATCAACACAATTCTATCATTTTTGGCTCTATACACCACCATAATGGATTTGAAATGAAACGAACAAGATTTGCTTTAACTGCAGACTGTCAGCTTTAATTTGAGGGTATTTACATCAAAATCAGGTGAACGGTGCAGGAATTACAACAGTTTGCATATGTGCCTCCCACTTGTTAAGGGACCCAAAGTAATGGGACAATTGGCTTCTCAGCTGTTCCATGGCCAGGTATGTTATTCCCTCATTATCCCAATTACAATGAGCAGATAAAAGGTCCAGAGTTCATTTCAAGTGTGCTATTTGCATTTGGAATCTGTTGCTGTCAACTCAAGATGAGATCCAAAGAGCTGTCACTATCAGTGAAGCAAGCCATCATTAGGCTGAAAAAACAAAACAAACCCATCAGAGAGATAGCAAAAACATTAGGCGTGGCCAAAACAACTGTTTGGAACATTCTTAAAAAGAAGGAACGCACCGGCGAGCTCAGCAACACCAAATGACCCGGAAGACCACGGAAAACAACTGTGTTGGATGACCGAAGAATTCTTTCCCTGGTGAAGAAAACACCCTTCACAACAGTTGGCCAGATCAAGAACACTCTCCAGGAGGTAGGTGTATGTGTGTCAAAGTCAACAATCAAGAGAAGACTTCACCAGAGTGAATACAGAGGGTTCACCACAAGATGTAAACCATTGGTGAGCCTCAAAAACAGGAAGGCCAGATTAGAGTTTGCCAAACGACATCTAAAAAAGCCTTCACAGTTCTGAACAACATCCTATGGACAGATGAGACCAAGATCAACTTGTACCAGAGTGATGGGAAGAGAAGAGTATGGAGAAGGAAAGGAACTGCTCATGATCCTAAGCATACCACCTCATCAGTGAAGCATGGTGGTGGTAGTGTCATGGCGTGGGCATGTATGGCTCCCAATGGAACTGGTTCTCTTGTATTTATTGATGATGTGACTGCTGACAAAAGCAGCAGGATGAATTCTGAAGTGTTTCGGGCAATATTATCTGCTCATATTCAGCCAAATGCTTCAGAACTCATTGGACGCCGCTTCACAGTGCAGATGGACAATCACCCAAAGCATACTGCAAAAGCAACCAAAGAGTTATTTAAGGGAAAGAAGTGGAATGTTATGCAATGGCCAAGTCAATCACCTGACCTGAATCCGATTGAGCATGCATTTCACTTGCTGAAGACAAAACTGAAGGGAAAATGCCCCAAGAACAAGCAGGAACTGAAGACAGTTGCAGTAGAGGCCTGGCAGAGCATCACCAGGGATGAAACACAGCGTCTGGTGATGTCTATGCGTTCCAGTTTTCAGGCTGTAATTGACTGCAAAGGATTTGCAACCAAGTATTAAAAAGTGAAAGTTTGATTTATGATTATTATTCTGTCCCATTACTTTCTCCCTCCCCCTCCCTCTCCCCCCCCCCCCTTTTTTTTTCTCTCTCCTTCCCTTCTCTTCCGCCTCCTTTAACCACTTGCCTACCAGGCACTTATACCCCCTTCTTTACTAGGCCAATTTTCAGCTTTCAGCGCTGTCGCACTTTGAATGACAATTACGCGGTCATGCAACATTGTACCCTTATGAAATTTTATCATTTTTTTTTCTCACAAATAGAGCTTTTTTTGGTGGTATTTATTTGCCGCTGGGCACTTTACTTTTTGCGCTATAAACAAAAATTTCCAAAAAATTTTGAAAAAAAAAAAGTTTCTTTGTTTCTATTATAAAATTTTTCAAACAGGTAATTTTTTCTCCTTTACTGATGTGCGATGATGAGGCAGCACTGATGGGGACTAATAGGCGGCACTGAGAGGCCCTTGGTCCCGCGATGGATATCGCATGGCATGGATAGGCAGCACTACTGAGGTGACACGGATAGGCGGCACTGATAGACAGCACTGATAGGTGGCACTGACTGGCATCACTGCTGGGCACTGACTGGCGCAACTGCTGGGCACTGACTGGCACAACCGCTGGGCACTGACTGGCAGCACTGCTGTGCTGCACTGGTGCGCACAGGTGGGTGGCACTGCTGGGCACAAGTGGGTGGCACTGCTGGGCACAGGTGTGTGGCACTTCTGGGCACAGGTGGGCGCACTGCTGGGCACAGGTGGGCGGAGCTGGTGGGTGGCACTGCTGGGCACCGATCATCAGGGCACTGATCATCAGTGCCGATCCCTGCTCTGACAACTGCCGGTTCTCGGCAGTACTTTCCTCACGCTCTGACAGCGTGAGGAAAGTGCAGCCGAGAACCGGCAATTGCATTTCCCGGTAATCAGCGTGTCATTGGACATGGCTGATCACGTGGTAAAAGGCTGCTGTGATTGGCCTTTTACCACATCACGTGATCAGCTGTGTCCGTAGGAAATCCCCGGGTGCGTGCCCCCGGGGGGCGCGCAGGAGAGCGCGTTCTGGGAGGACGTCATATGACGCCCTCCCAGAATTGGCCGGCCGCAGTGTAGCCGTCATTCGGCTATCTGCGGTTGGCAGGTGGCTAATCTACCTCTGCTTTCCTTCTCTCATACTCTGCTACATTTATTTTCCTTTTTTTTTAGTTACTTTGATCATTCTTGCTGTCTCGCCATAGTAGGTATCAAGTGTTATGATGCTAAGTAGTGTCTGTTTCACCAGGGAATTCAGGAAGCTATGTCTAAGTCATAAGTAGAACAGTATAGTAGAATGTTTTATTTTTCTCGGTCAACTTGGGGCATCTAATTGAAGTATGTCAGTTTTATGATTGCATGTGATGTGATCGTCCTGTAGACTCGTGTTTAGTAAAAGTTGGAAATGTGTTGTGGTTGTCGAATCTATTTTTCTGTATTATACACTGATGTATACATTAACCTTTGTATGGAAGTATCCGGTAAAAATAAAGAATTAAAAAAAAAAAATCAATATCTTTACAAGTCTACAGCATGAATTCCTGACATGTCACAAAATTCATCCATCATATATAGTAGAGTTTCTCACACTGAGGTTTATTTACTAAAGCTGGTTCACTCAGAATGTCATGCACTTCTGCATGGAAGCCAATCAGCTCACAGGTTTTATTGCTAAAGCTTAATTGAACAAGCTGAGGTTAGAAGCTGATTGGTTATCATGCAGGAGTGACATTTGGAGTGAACCAACTTTATTAAATCTCCCCCACTGTGTCTGAGTGGAGCATATTGAGAAAATCTTGTCATCAGTCTCCTGTAGGCACTTCCTTTCCACGTTGATCTTCCTGTTCAGCATAGTGTTCAATCAGGTCACATGGTGAAAAATAACCTGTGTATGACTATGAATGATGATTACACTGGAAAGTTATATAGTGAAAAACACCAGAGTGACTTAAACTGTTTGATCAAATATTCATTGGTTGCTCACAGTCAGTGTACTGAGCTGTGTGATATGTGGCCAAAAAAAGCTACTGCACAGGCATTAGGACTTGCATAATTTGTCATTTCTGGGCCAGCATCCAGGTTCAGTAAGTAAATGGTGAACTTGAATGATGCCTGGACAAAATATAGTGCCAGCCTTTTGGGGACAAATGAAGATGAACTTATAGACATATGGACTATTATATATTTGAGAGGTTGGTGTTCCTCCCCTAGAATGCACTTAACAGATACATTTCTCTGATGCTAGGCCTTTTTTTTAAACACGTTTTATTGGTCTTTTTCAACAGCGATTTGTCTCTTTTCACCTGTCATAAAACAGAAAAAGTGGGGACCCGTTTGGTTTTTGATCAAAATGGAAAAATTGTCCAGAAATCTCCTATCCCTCGACAGCAGGGAACTACAGTCACTGTACAACAGCTTTTCTTTACCCTGCCGGTGCGTCACAAAGAATTTCAACGGAACATCAAAAAGGTATGTGGTTTTAGAAATTCCTCCCTGTGAAGAAAGGAAAATCTATAGAATATGGATAAGTTCAATAGCATGCTTGCTCAGGGTGTGACAGCACACATGAGGGCCATACAAAGACAATGGATACCTCCACCCTCCTCTGCGTCCACTTGGCCATTGCCTGTGCTCTGTCTGTCTCTTTGGCTGTAGACTTTGAACTACTGGATGAAAATTTCCAGTGCTAGACAAGGTGCAGTGTTTGAGCGGAGAGGGTTGCAACATGGGCACCATTCTCCATAGAGACCATTTATTATTGTAACTGGAAATCCCTATTTCTACATCGCTTGGACACGAAATGACAAAAAGTCCAGCATTGCACGTAGGTTGCTATTTGACTTTGACAGGCAAGGCAAACCAAATATAATCAGTGAAGGCTTTCTTGTGCATGCAGTTTTCAGCAGTGCCGTACTAATGCATTGCATGGAAATCATAAAATACTGCCAATTCTTGTTCATCTCTAGAGCTTTACGGGAATTCATAGGTCTTCCAGCATTTTTCTGGTAAAATAATTTTTATTGTTGCAGCAAAGATAAAATGTACAGTAGATCACCCACACAAGAATTGAATTAAGTAAGCATGAGTGAAATGGTGTTGTGTAACAATTATTTTACTTTAAGTTTGCTAGTGGGTGACTGCATGAACGAGGTCATTGGTCTACACATGTTCCCTGGCCCCAAGGGTTGGGAAAGTAGTGAACCGGCATGCCAGTCCTGGAAGGGGGGATAGAGAAAGAGAAAGAGATTCTAGCAGGAATGGCACTGAAAGAGTGGAGGAGGGAAGGGTGGCTTCCTGCAGGCTTAAGTAGTGGTATCCGCAATTAAAAAACGCCAAGGCTGGTCCGGTGCAAAGCGGGTAGGGCATACTACCACTAAGGGTTCCAGACTTTCAAGAATTTGGCATGGGAGTCATGCAGGATGCTTGACATTTTTTCATTTATCATAAGGGTGGTCAAGTTGCCCTTCAATACCGCAAACAAGACAGATGGTGTTTTCCAAGCCCTAGCTATGACACGCTTTGCGGCAGTAAACAAATAGGTGGCAAGTTTCTGTTGATATGAATATATGCCAGGGATTTGACAATGCAGTAGTGCCAGTGCCAAAATTCAAATCAAAACTGTGCAATCTCAAGTATGCGTACGGCTTTATGATTGGGTTTTAGTGTTTCCTGTTGCCAGATTGGCAATGCTCCTAAAACTCACACTCCTTTTCTTTCTCTTTTAAGGAGTATGCAAAAATGGTACAGGTTTTACAAGCATACTGTATTATTTCAACTGGAGTTCGTATAAATTGCACGAATCAGGTAGGCCAAGGGAAGAGAACGCCTGTGGTATGTTCTAGTGGGACATCAGGCAACGTGAAAGAAAACATTGGAGCTGTGTTTGGACAGAAACAGGTAATATTCTCTTTTACATCTGACAAATTGCACACTTGCTTCCTGTGACAGTAACATATAATGTGCTATTTTTATAAGAAAAAACAAGGCCGTAAAAACGGAGCAGAATAAATATGCTCAAGAGTGATGTGTGTTAAGTCTTCCCTGTTTATTTTCTGCTCATTTTTCTTCCTTAAAGTAAGTTATTCATAGGAGAAGCATGAGGTCTTCTTCTGAAAATGCTACTTGTCTAGCTATTTTTGCGTCAATACTTGGATTCCCTGACCCAGAGCAATAATACCTGTAATAACTCCCCTTCTCTGTTTTTCCCTGTAGTACTTCTTATCTCCTTTGTCTTTCCATCTTTTCTACTTTTTTTGCTGTCTCTCTCACTTTTTTTTCTCTTTGTTTTCATGTAAAAAAAAAAAAAAAACTTGGCTTTTTTTTTTTTACCTACCCAAATACCTCTTTGGGTGACCTTCTAATATCTGGATATAATATTGATGTTTTTTATTTATTTTGCTTTGATATATACATTAACCACTTTCGGGCTGCCCACCCGCAATGTACTGCGGATGGGTGGTAGCTACAGGACCAGCAACGGTCTTTTGCTAATACAGGGGGGCACGCAACTCTACCCTCCCCCACGTCCACTTTGTCCAGCGGAATGAGAATCCCAGTAATTGGGACCCGGTGATCATATGATCGCATAATCACAATGACTACAAAGCTTTTATGAATCAATCTGATTCATAAAAGCTTTTCTTCTGTTCCTGGAGAGCTGTGATTGGTCCACAGCTCTCACATGACATATGGGGCCAATCATAGCACCCTGTACCTTGTAACCAGCTGGAGCCAATCACAGATCACTATTATATTGAACTGTCATGAACTTAGCACATTCATGACAGTTCAAAGCAAGCTTTGCATTGCATAGCAATGATCTTAATTGCTCCTGTAATGCAAAGTGTAAGAAAAAAAAAAAAAACTCTCTGATCACCCCCCGAGTAGTACAATGTTACTATGGTAACATTGCACTACTCTGATGAAAGTTGTTTTTTTTTTTAAATAGTAAAACAAAGGAAAATAATGTTTAAAAAAAATTGAGAGACATTTTTTTTTCTTTAACTACTTGCCGCTTGCCGGGCAACAATGTGCAGGCGAGCGGCGGCGGCTCTGGGCAAATTGACGTAATCTTACATTGCTTTCTATTTTTGGGTGTGCGTGCGCAAATGTGCAGCCCCCACTGCCCCCTATGCTGTCCAGGGAGAAAAGAACGAAAACGCGTAAAAGCACTACATTTTACAAGCACATGTTAGATTAGCACAGATTTTTAGATTGCCTGTGAAGACAATAAAAGTGATCGAAAAAAAAAAAATTAAATGGACAGTATAAAAAAAGTATAAAAAAAAAATTAATTCATCCTCACCCCCATCCCCGTACTCGCACGCAAAGGCAAACGCAAGCGGCGGTCCCATGGTGGTGGTATATAAATAGAGATTGCACCATGCATGTGAGGTATCACCACAAACATCAAATCGAGGGCAGTAATTCTAGCACTACACCTCCTGTGTAAACATAAATCGGTGACCTGTAAAGGCTTTTAAAGCATCGCGTATGTATATTAAACATTTACGTAGTTTGTCGCTGTTGCACGGGTCTGCGCAGTTTTAAAGCATGTCATGTTTGGTATCCATTTACTCAGCGTAACATCATCGTTTATATTTTATCAAATAGTTGGACAATATATTGTGTTTTTGTGCATTAAATTTTAAAAAGTGTATTTTTTTTCCCAAAAATTTCCATTTGAAAAATTGTCACGCAAATACTGTGTGGCATAAAAAATTTCTACACTCACTGTTTTATTCTCTAGGGCATATGCTTTAAAAAAAATATATAATGTTTGGGGGTTCAAAGTAATTTTCTAGCAAAAAAAATGTTTTTTCAAGTAAACAAAAAGTGTCAGAAAAGGCTTGTTCTTCAAGTGGTTAAAAAAAAAAATTAAGGCAAGGTTCACAGCTGTGCGAGTGGTTGCAGGTATCTCACCTGTTCTCGCACCCACAACCACCCTCAGCCAAAAGGTACTGCTCTTTTACAGATCCACATGGCT